GGGGGCAGAAAGTGGAAATGAAAGCAGACAACAGAACATTGCTAGAGAGCAGCAAAGGAGGTGAAAGGAGACGATTTTAGAGAAGAAAAATTTTCGGTCGCTACCCGGGACCTTTGAATGAGAGGCCAACACCTTAACTTCTAGGCCACGAGAGCGCCCTGATTTTATCAGAATTCCATTGTAATTTGTTTTATTTGTAATTAAGGCATGTGAGTCTCAATTTTTTTTCCATTTTAGTAAGAAACAGTGTCTGCAATATTATGCGTGAAATGATTTACTGTTATTTTTTTTAGTGAATGTAGAACTATATTATTACTATTATGTGCATGCATGTGCGTATATGCATGGTTTTCATTATGAACCTCGCATCACCTACCTAGTGACGTAACCCAAGCGGCTAAGCGGGCCCGCCACGGCGAGAACAAAGGCCCAAAGAGGAAGTGCGCTATATCTTGGTAGTAGAGAATCTTCTGGCATTACATCACGGATGCGTGCGCATAGCAAAAAAATGTGTTGGTGCCCGCAATTGCGTGCGTATAGCAAAATTTGATTTCTGTGCACCCAATTGTGTGCGTATAAACACTCCCCAATTTAAAGGTAAAAAATGTCCAGCAGAAAAAGAACAAACAAGTCATGGCAAACTGAAAGACTACTAATTTTGTAGAAAACACTAGGTGTCGGTCAGGTTGAAGGTCCACCGTGCTACATCAACGGTGTGCCGTAAGTCCCGCTTGCCCGATCACAGACTTTCTGCGTAGCGCAATTAAGTCGCTCCTGCTTGGCCACGGCAACGACATTAGAATAATAATTTATTTTATAACCTTCTTGGCTTTAGACCAAAGGCGGTGACGTTACGCAGTTGTGGCGGATAGGTGGGTGGATAGCTTCGTGTTCCAGTGTGGTTTACATTAAAGAATCGACAAGACCTCACATATTAAAAATGCTAGACCCCGTACAAAATCTAGGAATCCGCCTCGCTGTGTGGCCTTTTCCTCACTTCTGTAGCTGCCGAATCGGCTTTAAATTTGAGCTGTTTTGATTTGCTCATCCTTGATTCTTGATAACTAGTCAAAGTCAGAAACATAAGGGTGAGAACTTGTAAACATACGGTAATGTCTGCAAAATGTCGATGGAAACTTTCACATCCGTTAGTTGTCCTTCTGTAGTTTCCAGATGTGTAAATCTAAAGGAGGGGTGGGAAGTAATAGCCAGATAATAAGGATTTTCTTTATATATAGAAGTTGGTAGATAGAGAGAGAGACATGTATCGAATGGTCATCGATTACATTTTATTGAAAATGTGGCACGAAATCGGGCAGAATCGTGTCTGAACAAAAGTGGGACGAAAATGGGTAGTGTGAAACGAATAATAATATGTGGGACGAAAACAGGTGCACCGGGGGCCAGTGACATGGTAATCGACTCCTTAGAAAAATTCTTCTAAATCCTTTTTTCTCATTCTATCCGATTCCTTGTCTTGGTCACTTCTCTCACCAATCTCACACTTTTAAACCCGAAAATAGTAAAATTGCAGTTAAGGATTCAGTCCTTGACTGAGCAGGGAACACGTTTTGTTTTCATGGCTACCTAGCCATATGGGCACCCGAGGAAAGAAAACAAAATCCCTAAACAAATAAAATGACAAACTATGTAATAGCAGAATAGAAAACCAAACAGTTGTAAATTTATTCTAAATTCAGAAATGCATGTCAGGTACGACAACACGACATAATGAGTCACTTGTCGCGTTTTGACGATACAAAACATATGGTTAAACAAAAACCGACAAAAGCTAAAATAAAGGAATGGGAAAAAAAAAACCCACTTACAAAATAAACAAACAAAAAAACAAAAAACCACAACTAAAAAAATAATTATAAAAAATAGCAAAAGACAATACTTTTTTTTTAATTTCAGTCCTAAACGAGCTGGATTTAAAAATAAGGACACGAAAAAATAGGGCCATCATCGATTGATGTTGTAAAGCCCAAACGAACTGTATGACAAAACGAGAATAAAATTAAAACGCCACCCCCATCAATATAAACAACATTAAAAAAAGGAAACCAAAACTGCCCTTCTTGCTACTTTGGTCCCAGAGTCATAGTGGATTCATGTTGGGAATCTGACATGTTCAATTAGTTCAGCTGGAAGAATCTCAGGAGACTTGAAAACATCCCCAAAATAACCCAAGTTCATGAACGCCCCCTGGTGGAAAACATGACCACCCACCACATGATAACAGTATGTCAGTGTGAGGTATGCCTACTGTCTAAACTAATGGGCCGTTCCCTCATGTATTAATTAATTATTTGCAAGGTGAAGAATGTATAATTAAGAGTTTTTTCAACAGATACTTAAGTTTGTCTTTTTGCGGGAAGTTCACCTATCAGAGTGGTTTTATTTTCCAGCGACTGAATTACCCCCACCACCCTCCCCACTTAAAAAATAAGTGATAATAACTAACTAAAGAATAAGGATAACAATGTACAAAAAGAAACTGCAAATGACATAACAAAACAAAAAGCCAACGGAATACGTGCTAACGTTAAACCCCTACAGAGACTGTGCCAATAACAGATCGCTATATCATAATATTTGATATCCATCATCAGTCTTGATCCGAGAATCAGATGTGGGAACAATCTGAACGCGACAAGCGACTCATTTTGTCCCTTTGGATCAGAACAAGCCACAGACAGCACTTTTGTTGCTGGTGATCTGATTGCTTGGTTAGCCAATAATCAAAAGTGAAGTGTATAAATCAATTACAAATGAAGTCAATACAACATTTATCCCGATCCTTAGTACACACCAGACGTTTATTTTCTGTACATCTTTAGTCAGTCTAGCTGTGAAGTTTTGTGGCAGCCAAATCCGGAGACCTCGCCAGTCAGTGACGGCAATAAATCGTTGTTTCAACTACGAGAGAGAAACACCAAGTAAAGCAAATGTACAGGAAATCAGAGGTAGATTTTTGTTTCTTTTTAAGTATGCGATGACGATAATTTTGTTAACGCAAAACATATTAAAATTATAGACTGATATATATTTTGTAAAAACTATCATTTTCTTTTTTCTTTTTTTTTTTGAAAGAAAAGAATGAGCTTTTTCAGCCCTAGTGGCATAACCCCCCCCCCCCCCCCCCCCCTTTCCTGAAAAAAAATGCTTGAGCAAGCAACATCTTACATCAAGAAAGTACTGAATGTAATGAATCATCAGTGCCAATTAAGCAAGCCACTTTTGAAAATATAGTTAGGAATTTATTTGTTCATTTTCGTACATTTCTTTGTGAAATCAGATCTTTCCATAGGGACGAATAAACTTGTCTTATTTTAAGCTTTTTTAAAGATACCTTTTACACCAGTTTCACTTTCATAATCAAACAACAACAACAACAATAACAAAACAAGCAACAGCGAAAAATACAACATAAGCAGTAGCAACAACGTGAACGAAGAAACAAACAAAAAACCTTTCAATATTGCCAGAACAGATCACAATATTTCCATAAAGAAGGCTTTCAAGACTTCATACAGAAAACCATAAAACCAACTTCAATCTGGACACCTTCATTAATTGCAAACTTTGAAAGATTTTCTAAATTACTCATTATGATTGTCTTTACGTTCACACTAAACTGCAGCCAAGTCTACAACTAACAGAGAAAAGTCAAGCTTTATAGTATCAGGAGAAACTGAGACTTTAAAAATACGAGTCTGTTGTTGTATGAAAAAAGCATGTCTTAAAATTAGGTCTTGATACCAAGAACTGAAAAAACGAATAATGTTTAACATTATTATCGCCCCCCCCCCCCCCCGCCCTGCCCCCTTTTCCCCCATTCAATTTCTTCTCAAAACGTTTAATGTTACCAGTTTACCAAATCGTGCTATTCAAATTAGGTGGTTGCATGACAAAGTAACAGCAGCAGCCATAATAACAACAAAAACGTGAACGAGAACAACGATAACAACAGTAACAACGGCAACAAACATAACATAACGTAACAGGAAATAGACACACACACACACAAAACAAGCAAACCTACCCCGTTTACCCTGTTTTTACACGGGACGAAAAATAAACCAAGTAAATTTTGTTTTATTTTCTAAATAAATAAATAATAATTGTTTGAAATAAAGAAAATGAAAACAATATTAATTCATTTTGGAAGTCATATAATTTGTAATTATCGTTGAAATAGCCGAATAAATTCCTTGGTAAATAGTACCTGTTTAACTCAACAAAGTTATACGCAAGTGTAATTTAAAGAGAATCCAAACAACTAACAGGTGACGTCCAGTATACAAGCATATTAATATCCGTTCCCATGTCCATGCGTTCATATTGATATAGCGTTGTGCATGCTGACTCCCACCGTCAAACTACGAACTCCCACATCAACTGACACCATTGCGATGGTCTGGTGGTTTTTTTTTATAAAGGCCTGTTTGAAAAACAAACAAAGAAAAGAAATTCTAATAAAAAAGAAGGAAAAGAAATTAAATACAAAAGTACAGTGAGTGTTGCTGTTAGGCGTTTTGCCTTCGGGCGGGCGCAGACGACCTGAGTTCGATTCATGTGAGGGGAGAATCTCTACCGAGCATCTTGCTGACAAGCAGGGTAGAAACCTATGCCCTGAAAATCTAATTAATTGTCTCAGATGGAGGGTAAAAACCATCTACTTTCAGTTGCCTGAAGTGGCATACCACATTTTAATGTTTACTGTCCTTTCGTCACATGCACTGAGCAGTAAATAAATGCCCTTGTGTTTAATCAGCACACCTCTACTACGCAGAATTTTTTACTCAGTTGTCAGTTACTATGAGACGTCGTGCTATTCTGACCAACATGAAGTTGTTATTTTTTCAGGAACATTTCCTCTCATCCCGCTGTGAGGGAGGGACAGGGGGGGGGTGGAGGATGAGTGATAAAAATGGGGCTCTATCCTGTTTATGAACATCTCTGTAATGCCATACAACAACAAAAACAACACTACTACTACTACTACTACTACTACTACTACTACTACTACTACTACTACTACTATTTCTACTACTACTACTACTACTACTACTACTACTACAATTACAACAGAGATGAAAATAGAATCAACAAAAACAAAACCGACATAGCTAACATCGACAAAAATAACAGCAACACAACCATAACGACAACAACATAAAACAACACGACAACAACAACATCAACAACACCGGCTCTTTACTCACAAAGATGACTGGACTTGAACTCAGGGTACTGAGCACCTCATTTCGTCTGCCACAAACACCAGACTTGAGCCGCAATCTTCAATGCTAGGGTTAGAGTTGCATCTAAGAAGGGGAAAAGGGGGGGGGGGGGGGGGGCCCGCCGAGGGGGGAGGAAAGGGGGGATTCTGTATTAGAAAAAAAGGGGGGGGGGGGGGGCGGGGGGGGGAGGCAGGAGGGGCCAGTGGGGGGAGGGGGGGGGCGGGGGGGAGGGGGGGGGGTGCGGGAGGTTGGGGGGTGGGGTTGGGGTGAGGGGGGGGGGGGGAGGGGGGGGGGGAGGGGGGAAGAGGGGCCGGGAGGAGGGGGGGGGGGGGGGCGGGGTGGGAGGGGGGAAAGGGGGGGGGGGGGGGCCATGGGAGTGGGGTGGTGGGGGCGCGGGGTTGGGGGGTGATGGGGTGGGTGTATAGGCCCCCCACCGCTATTTTTATCATTATTATCATGGGTGACCTTATTTAGGCCACACTGTGGCCTAAATAAGCTGAACCCACCTCCCTTACCTTATTTAGGCCACACTGTGGCCCAGATAAGCTAAAAAACCCTCTCTTATCTTATTTAGGCCACATCATGTGGTAGATTTCTTGATTTAACCATGGATTCGGAAGGTCGAGATTCTACTGTTCTTTATATTTAGTGCGGGGGATTATTTCAAAATAGAGGATGATACTAAATGATAAGTGGACCAAGGGTAAGAGTTGTGTGTGTGTGTGTGTGTGTGTGTGTGTGTGTGTGTGTGTGTGTGAGAGAGTGTGTGAGAGTGTGTGTGTGTGTGTGTGTATGTGTATGTTTTGTGTGTGGTTGTGGTGAGAGAGAGATCTAGAGCGAGAGAGTAAATGTAATAGTGTGTTTGTGTATGTGTGTATGTGTGTAATGTGTGAATGTTATTGTATGCATGAGTGTCTATCTCAGTTGTACGGTCCAAATGTACATTATTTTGTTGAGAATTTTACATAGAACTCAACTACAAAACACCTTTATACAAAGTCACAGAAATATTCTTTTTGTGCTTATTGAGGTGCAGTACAGGGTGATTTTACCTGCAAGGATAATTGGACAAAATGGGCAATATCTTTATAATGCTAATGGTCATATACAAATCCTATATCATTCTCTTTTTTTCTTAACAGCTTATGTTTATTAAAGAGAAAGCAAACTAGATCAAGGTAGTAATTTCGGATTCCTAATATTATGGGCATTCTTTAAAATTTTTTACTTGTTTTTAGCGCTTTTCTCAACGTAAAACGGATTCCTTTAAAAAACAACAACAATGACCTTATCTTTCTTTCTCAAGGTATTGTGCATACATTTGTGTGAAACTATTATATTCTATGCTTTCAAGTACATGAAAAAAGCTGATAAAGTCAAGCAAAATGTTCTTCAGAGACATATATCTAGTAGTAGGCCCACTGGAACATTTTATAAACCGTGAAAAGATGACCAAAAAATAACAAATTATCTTATGATCTTCACTTGCACTTGCTATTTTTTGGACAAATTATAGTCTACCTCATTATCTTTTTTTCACATTTTTCTTCACTATTCATGACAACTGGCATGTTTTTCAGTTATTATCAAGGAAGTGGATAGGCGGACTCCGGGGTCTATCTAGCCCCAAAAGGATAGGTGGACCCCGGGGTCTACCTAACAAAATGCTGTTTTAGGATGTGAACCCCGGAGTCAGCGTAGTGAAATAAGTAGATCTAGGTTTAATTAAGGATCGGTGGACCCCGGGGTCAACATATTGAAATAAGTAGATCTCAGTTTATTTTATAGTAGGACTGGCGGAGCCCGTGGTCAACGTAGTGAAATTATAAGTAGATCTGGGTTTAATAAGGATTCGTGGACCCCGGGGTCAACGTAGTGAAATCAGTAGATCTAGGTTTGATTAAGGATTGATGGACCCTGGGGTCAACGTAGTGAAATAAGTACATGTAGATCTAGGTTTAATTTTAGGGATTTTTGGACCCTGGAGTCAATGTAGTGAAATAGGCAGGTTTAAGGTGGACCCCAGGGTCTACCTAACGAAATACTAGTTAGGTTTTAGAATAGGTGGACCATGCGGTCACCGTAGTAAAATAAGTAGGTTTAATCACGGTGTCTCGGGGTTCCACCAATCCTTAATTAAACCTTCTTATTCCTCTACGGCTATGGTGACTCCGGGGTCCACCAATCCTTTTAAGATTAAACCTACTTATTTCACTACGATGACCCCGAGGTCCACCGATCTTTAAAGAAACCTACTTATTTCACTACGGTGACCCCGGGGTTCACCTGTCCTAAAACCTAGTATTTCGCTAGGTAGACCATGAGCCCAGGGGTCCACCTTAAACCTGCTTATTTTAATTATTTATCACTAAGTTGACCCCGGGGTCCACCAATCTTTACTTAAACCAAACTTTATTTCACTACGGTGACTTCGGGGTTCACATCCTAAAACCTAGTATTTCGCTATGCAGACCCCGGAGTCCACCTATCCTCTACAGGACTATACTATTATCAATTTGCAATTTTCATTGATTAGCATATTTTTAAAATAAAGTATTGAATCAGAGACTCACTGTCTAAAAAGTCCACTGCTAATACTATTCTTATCAAAGAAAAGGCACAATTTGACTTTATGACATGTTAAAAAAAAGAGTTTTAAAAGTATCCAGAAAATAACATAAAATGATTATATAGATCTAGATCTATACGAATTTTATTATGTGTATATACTTAAAAGTAAAAGACTGAGCAGAGGCTTAAAATGTAAATTCTGTGTTCTACAAGTAGAGAAAGTCTTAAGTTTGC